GGATCGTTCGTAAAAAGAACCAAATGTCCGCAACAAATCTTTTCATGGACTTGAACCAGTACGGAAAGAATCATCAACCCAAACTATCCTATGGCATTATCTAACCGAGTTGTTTCCCTTTGAACATGAAGCGGCAATCTCCTTCCTTGCACGTGACACCTTTCCTAACCCTCCCGGTGAAATCGCTGCCATTAACTGGGCCTCGTTTCTTCGTATCGCAAGTTGATTTGCGCACAGCTAGCCGGGAACGAACGTACGCCATCAGTATCTTGATTAATCGTTTAATTTTAACTATTTTGAAACGTTTTATTTAAACAGCTGTCTTATAGATGGGAATATTGCTGACTGCGGCGTTGCCTTAGCAACGATTCGAATTTAAAAAATCAGGCCAAGAAGTGACGGGGATCCTCTTTAGCCCACTGGGTCAGCGTGATGGTTAAAAGTGAGAAACGCTTGTAGAAATCAGTATAAAGTTTACCAGATGTGTTCATGTTAATGGCCCCGCGTCCGTGGTTCAGTGGACAGAGCGTCTGTCTGGAGTATCGAAGGTCGTGGTTCGATCCCATGGCCCCGTCATACCAACGACATTAAGAGATGGTACTTGCTGTTACTCTGCCTGGAGTTTGGTATAATATCCTCTCAGTAGAAGACTATTTATTGTATCTACCTCATAATTTACGCATTTGGCTTACTAAAATCAGTTCGCTCGTCACGCCGAAGACCCGGGTTCGAATCCCGACATGGGTACAATGTGTGAAGCCCATTTCTGGTGTCCCCCGCTGTGATATTGCTGGAATATTGCTAAAAGCGGCGTAAAACCATACTCACTCAACTAGTAGATGGTATAACCTCAAAAGGAAAGATAGGCTTTGCTCTCTCTGTGTAAAAGTAAAGTTGGTGATGAATTTCATTTTATACTAGAATGCCATGAATTGGATAATTTAAGAAATAAATATCTCACATTTTTATTATTGTAAATTCCCAAATACTGAAAATTGTGTTTCACTTATGACCTGTTTTTATAAACCTCTTCTCTTACGACTAGCGTAAGGGGCAACTAACGTGATCAGGTGGTCAGGCTCGCTGACTTGTTTGATGCATGTCATCGATCCCAATTGCGTGGATCGATGCTCATGACATCAATCACTGGATTGTCTGGTCCAGACTCGATTATTTACAGACCGCCGTCATATAGCTGGAATATTGCTGAGTTCGGCGTTAAACAACAAACAAACAAACAAATCCAACGACCAGCCATGAATGTAAAATGTGGACTGCGTATGCTCAACAAACTATAGTCACGTTACTTTGTATCCGTAGGGGGGCGGTCGGGTAGCCTAGTGGTTAAAGCGTTCGCTCGTCACGCCGAAGACCCGGGTTCGAATCCCGACATGGGTACAATGTGTGAAGCCCATTTCTGGTGTCCCCCGCCGTGATATTGCTTGAATATTGCTAAAAGCGGCGTAAAACCAAACTCACTCACTCACTTGTATCCGTATGCCTCGCTTGTCAACTTATTTATGTCAACACCGTGATTCATGAGAAGTAAACATCTTCTTCTTATAGTAGGAGTTAGTATACTGTGTCTTAGTGGGATATCTACATGTATGTCAGCTGCGGCATGGTATCTCATGGTATATACAACCGGCATAGGTCCGGACTAATACAAGTACACAGACACTCTCTCTCATATTTGCATATTTGGACTAAAACCAACAGAGAGTAAACAACTCATCTCACAAGATATTCTCACATGAACAAATCTTCGGTCAGGGACTTGCGCAATGTTAGAGTTTCACGAAGTTGGAGTAATTGGCCTCGGTCTTTTCAACTGCCCTCCTTCGTCGAGCAGTTAATAGAAAACCTCGGGCTTCTGCAAATGATAATGCCCTGAAAAATAGCGTTACCCTTATGATAGAGATTTTGACATTGTGACGTCAAACTATATGACGTCATAGGGCGCCAAATGACTACGACAAACAATTAGGAAAAATTCTAGTGTGGTTTCAATGTACAGCCATGTTGCATGTAGAATTACCGCGTTAAATTGAATTTGAAACCGAACGCGTAGAGATGGTTATTGTGATTTCATACCTCTGACTGTCCAGTCAGAATCAAGTACTTTCCAAATACATTCTAGAGTGTAATAGCTGATGAGTGCATGGGTAGGGTGAGTGAGGGAATAGGGCCCATAAAGCTACGTTACGGTGGCCTGTAAATAATCGAATCTGGACCAGACAAACCAGTGATACGAAATATTTACCAACGACCCGTTGGGACACGATGACACACAATCGGACATGCGTCACGCATCTTCCCGAGGCAAGGTAGCCCTAAGGTATTAGGACATGGTTCAATCAACCCGTAACTAAACCGACATCCGGTTCATAAACAAAGTGGCAACTGCCGTGCCGATTTCGTTCGATTGCAGGATTTGCAGAGCATGTGTACCGTCGACATATATTTTCCAAATATTTTCATATTTTTTAATCAAAGTGCTCAAGTGAGTTGAATCACGAGGTAAGACCCGTTTTATTACAAAATAGATCTTGAAAATCGATCAAATCGTCAGGACGGGGCTCCGCCATTTTCTTTAAGCAAATGCAGGTGAAATGGTGGATTCTGACTGGCCAGTAGCGGGGACATAGAAGGGACATAACTCGTAATAACTCGCAATAGCCACTGATGGCGCTAGGATCGAGCGCAGAAATTCCAGCCTAGTTCGGCAAGGGTGGAAACAGGATTTTTTTATGGCTGCATATACGAAATAAATCTGTCTGTCTGAAACTGGACTTCTGGAAGTCAGTTAACTCCCTTGTCTCGGGAAGATGTACGGCACCGACCCTGACAACTCGGTCGTCTTCAGGTGTCTCCACAACAAGCAAACGAGCTCTTACCTGGTTTATTTGGGTTTAATGCCATGTTTCTGCCTGTCCTGGTATTTCAGAGCGAAGCGTCCAGTAAAGCTGTGCCGTGAAACCCATGGACGGAGATTTGGTGCTTAACAAAACCAAGGACAATAATGAGGGCGAAACTGGGATTCGAACCAACGATATGCGGACCCAGGCACAGCTAAGGGACGCAACTCTGTACTTCATATTGCCGCACCGGGGCGGTCGGGTAGCCTAGTGGTTAAAGCGTTGGCTCGTCACGCCGAAGACCCGGGTTCGATTCCCGACATGGGTACAATGTGTGAAGCCCATTTCTGGTGTCCCCCGCCGTGATATTGCTGGAATATTGCTAAAAGCGGCGTAAAACCATACTCACTCACTCACTATTGCCGCACCGAAAACCACTCGGCCATCCGTGCCGTTTACCTGTATGAGGTAGAGCATGTATGTTTACATCACAGGAATAAGGAATATAGTCAGCACCTCGCTTGATCTTATAATTATGGGACCCGTGAAGATCCGGGTAAGAATAGGTCTTCAGCAACCCTCGTCGTAAGAGGCGACTAACGGGATCGGGTGGTCAGGCTCGCTGACTTGGTTGACGCAATGTCATCGTATCCCAATTGTGTAGATCGATGCTCATGATGTCAATCACTGGATTGTCTGGTCCAGACTCGATTATTTACAGACCTCCGTCATGTAGCTGGAATATTGCCAAGAGAGGTGTTAAACAACAAACAAACAAATATAGTTATGGGTTATCAATTTTAGTCAATTTGGTAATTTATAAATTTATCGAGGAATTTTTTTTTTCTTATACTCCTAAAGCTCAAACTCTCTAAATCCAACTCCCATGTCATATTGAGTGATTGGGTAGGGTTCTCCGCATCTTTTAACCATATTCCCGCAACATTACCCTTGGGGCACAGTAGAACCAGGTTTCACACACACTGTACCAATGTTGAGAAACGAACCATGCAGGGCCTTCGACGTACACGAGCGAACACTTTAACCACAAGGCCACCGCCCGTACAAGATCAAACCAGCCCCCGTGAAGATCCGGGTTGGTCTTCAGCAACCCATGCTTGTTGGAACATGCGACGGACGGGATCGGACTGGGTGACTTGATTGATGCATGTCATCGTATCCCAATTGCGTAGATCGATGTCCATGATGTCAATCACTGGGTTGTCTGGTCCAGACACGATTATTTACAGACCGCCGCAATGTAGTTGGAGTGTTGGGTTACACAATAAACAAGCCTATCGCAATCTCCTTAATAATTGCATAATATGTCACCAATGCCCTGTATAAGTTTGTATCAATTGTTGTTACTCAATGAATGATTACTTAACACTGATGGTGGTATAAAAATTATATCAATCTTTTTTTTCTTTAATAAAATTATACTTAGTAAATATAGGCCTTTCTTGTATATAATATCTTGATATGAGGCATAACTGTTCAAATTATCCATAGAAAACAATGACAAATCTGTTTACTCAATAAGCAAGTTTAACATCTATACCATTTACTGTTACTGTGTACACAGAGAATAGCTGTAAATCAAACGTCGCAGTCGTCGCCCATATTGAGCATAGGGGCGTACACTGAAATAGATTTACACGATAATCACGTGCCAATTAGAGCATAACGGCACGGCCTTTCCGTGGGGCCGCCCGGCCCACGGTTAAACTGACATCGCTCTGCCACTCAAACTAGCCATAACACCCCCTCGTGCCGTCAGCCCATTGTTTGACACCGCCGCGAGAAAGCTCATCTATTTCTCTCGCAATGACATCTGTCCATCAATTTTCTGATATCGACAAACGCTCAAGCCTTCCCCGAAGTACGACTCGCCTTTCAGTTACAAAATCGACTTTTATCAGACGTTACGAGTTTTGATATTTTGCTTCTCGTGTTCGCAAACGTTTGCTTAAAAAGTTGTATCTCGGCATGATGTAAAATGGGTCAAAACAACCAGACGGGATTATTTTGTCCAGGCTAAATAATGCACGTGTACAATACCGCTGTGGGGTTGCATTGTTTAATATTATAAGGGAGGTAACCGGTGTTGGGATATGTAGACGCACTCCCATTCCCGTGCATGCCTTTGTTGCAAGGTGCGAGTGACGTCAAGGTCACGTGACGGGGTGGGCAGTATCGCTAATTGACGCGCGCCATTTTGACGAAGAGTGACACTGTCGCTTTGCAAGGTAAGCTGCCAATAACCAAGCAGTATTCCCTGCTCAGAATTAGTTCCACAATTTCCATTTATCTTCCGAGCTGAATTAATGTCATTCATTAACATAGTCATGATTGAACAAGCCGGTGCGTAGTCGGAATGTTTCGCTGGCATTTCGATCGTCTCTGGCCATTTTGTGTGTTTATTTTATCTGGCGATTTAGCTACTTAGATACGGAGAGAAATGCGGCGAGTTTCGAGATGAATATTTCCTTATATCGGAGGACATAATAGTTTAGGTGTACATAAACGCTTGCAAATACCCGTTCATTAATTCTGCTAAAACAGTATGTGGTGATATATTAGACTGCATAATGTTTTTCTTAGCCATCGAGTTAGTAAATCGAATCTTAAAGGCGCAATCTGTTATTTTCTCATGATTATGGTAACCGAAGCGCGTGAAGGGATAGACTTGAATTGTAAACTTTGGGGGTTTGTCACGGAAAGTCGTGACTGAATATGCGATTGACTTTAGGAAGTGAAATCAAACCAAACACTACCCAACATCACATCGCGCTTGAATAAATTGAGGAACACCGTCCAACAGTTTACAGAAATGCATGAGAACAATCGTCGCTTTCGCTGTGGGTTGAACGGCCGCACGTTGACAGCGACCGTCACTGTCGGGTGATTGACAACCAGTGATGATTGTGGGTGGACCTTGGTGATGAGTTTTGTGTGGATTAATTATGACTGATTGACAGGAGAACGTTCTCTACACTTGATTGGTGCCGACGTAAATATCTACCTCGCAGCGGTGAAAACCGAGCAGCCGAGCAATGGCGGTCCATGTAGACCAGAAGTGTGTTGTGGAAAACGGGATGGTTGTTGCACGCAGCGATGCATGGTGGGTTCTGCTGGTTTAGCCCGTAACAGTGTGAGGGGAGTTGGAAGGTTGTTGTCAGATTAAAAGTGTTCGGTCGGATTTATTTTGTGGGAGACGGGATCCGGAATTACCTGTTTTATTTCATCACATTCAAATGTTTACTATACGTAATGGGGAGCGGAACTTTAAACGAATAAACAATCTCAACAAATCCAATCATCTGCCAATTAAAACTATTTATTTTTTTCAATTTGATTTAATCAACAGTGTCAGAATTTTAGAAGCATTCATAATCCCAAGTTAGCATTGTTATATAATTCTGACAATGTTGATTAAATCAAATTAGCCTGTCAACATACAAATATGTTAATTGCAATAATAATGGAGAAAAAGGACTTCTCACATAAATATGTAAATATTCTTACAACTGGACTTGTATTTATATTTAATCATGTAATGGATTTCCATCGATGTGATAAACCAATCCAAATATCTTGGTATCATCATCAAATAAATATGCAAATGAGGTCCCCTAGCACAAACCTATTGTATAAATTTCCCTACATATATAGTTCATGGTTTCCTCAGAGGTGTTAGTGTTTATGTAAACATACATGGCTGCCAGTCATCAGGCAATACCATATCATAAATGGGGCAGTTCGCTCAACCTTTGTATTCCTACACAGTCTCTTAAGTAACTACGGTGAATAGAGATATGTTAAATTTAAGAAAGACATACCGTATTCGACTTAATAAGCGCCCACGGCGATATTTGCTAATATATTGGCACGTGAACAATCCCAATTAGCACCCCTTCTGATTGATCAATGTAAACAAGACTTATTCATTCGCATATAATACACACTCCTGTGTTATATGCACCATTAATTATGGGCAATTAAATTCTGGAAAATATATCTGCCGTACATAAACATTTCAGGCTGTCAGCTTAAACCACAAAATTTATCTTTCAACTCTGTTTTTTTTCACTAAAATAATATTCTAATAAGAGGCCCCTATTTCTAATTTTGAGAGCGCCCTGGGCGCTTATTACGTCAAATACGGTAATATGCAAAAAGGACTTTTATATATGTTTGGCATAAAAGTATGTACTACGTTTACCAAATGCTCGCAGAAGAAATTTGTTTTCCTAATATGTATGATATTCACATTAATTTACGCAAACACACTCAGCTGATAATTTCTATGTTGTTTGTTTGTTGTTTAACGCTGCTATTTCAGCTATATGACATCGGTCTGTAAATAATCGAGTCTGGACCAGACAATCTAGTTATTGACATGAGCATTGATAAGTCAGCGAGTCTGACCACCCGATCCTTTTAGTCGCCTCTTACGACAAGCATAGTCGCCTCTTACAGAAGCTTGTGTTGCTGAAGACCTATTCCCTACCTGGTAGGCGACTACGCTTGTCGTAAAAGGCAACTAACGGGATCGGGTGGTCAGGCTTGCTGACTTGGTTGATGCATGTCATCGATCCCAATTGTGTGGATCAATGCTTATGATATTAATCACTGGATTGTCTGGTCCAGACTCGATTATTTACAGACCGCCGTCATATAGCTGGAATATTGCTGAGTGCGGTGTTAAACAACAAACTAACCAACCAACCAACCAACCCTACCTGGATCTTTACGGGGGTTGTCTACACAAACACACATACATCAGAAAACTCTAAACGTATTGGGAACTTCAGACAATAATGTATTGAGCCTGTCATTGTACCTAACAGCATTGTACATCGCTCACAATGTCAATCACTGCTTCGTCTAGTCCAGTCTCAATTATTGACAAACACTCTCATATAGCTGCGACATTTAACAGTGAGTGAGTTGGGTTTAACACAGCTTTTAACAGTATTCCAGTTATATCACAGCTTGTCAGCATAATGTGGGCTGAAAGCCCGAAGTGATTCAGGTCTCAGGCGTTTTCCACTTCGGTGAAACCTACGAGCACGGGTATGGTGCTGACAAACCTAGAAACATAATCAGGGAGAACCGGGATTCGAACCCACAATCATAGGTTTCTGGCGTGCTCAAGGGACGCAACGCTGCACAGCGAATCGCTGCACCTTAGGCGACTGGGCTACTCACTGTAATGTGTACGTTAACATGTTTCTTGTCGTCCCCCAGGCTACATGTGACACACGCAGGGCGGGGCCATGTCGGTGGTGCCCCAGCCCCCATCGTATCAGGAAGCACAGATCTTGGCTCAAGCACAGGCCGTGGCAGCTGGAACCTCCGTTGTGCAGGATGTTGGAGGGTGAGTGACTATCACAATCAAGGTCAACCGTATCGTAGGGGGACAGATCCCCCAGTTTTACCTGGCACAGCAAGCCTACCTACGTGTTGGATGCAATTATTATCCAAACTACTCCTAAAATCCATGTACTAGAAACAGTCCTAGTTTGAAGTGTACGTGCATCATTTTTAGGCAACATGTTTTAGTCAGGTGACTATGTCTCACAAAACAGCCAAGTGACTGTAACCATGGTAACAGAAATTGTTTCTTTTTATCCTCTGGTTTGTAAAATTGGGGGATATAGCTGTCTGTCTTCTGTTTCTGGAGCTGAACTCCTGAACCATTGAATATTTCTTGATGAGACTTGCTATACAGATCAGTCTGGTGGTGAACTGGTGTCCTTTGATGATTTGGAATTTTCTTTTTTAAATTTCATGACCACAAGTTGACTCGTACTGACAAAGAGGGTAGTCCTTTTTCAGAGCAGAAGTAAAAAACTGTTAAATATTTCTTGATGAAACTTGCTATGCAGATCAGTCTAGTGGTGAACTGGTGCCTTTTGATGACTTGAGACATTTAAATGAACTAAGGCTTACAAAAATATAAGAATTGGTTCTCAGGCAACGACTTTTGAAATTATAGTGTGGGCGGGAGGGCGGGCGGTTGTTTTTGTTTTTGTCTGCTTGTTCAAACTAGTATGTAACCAAACAAACAGTTGTGTCCCCTCAACCTGGGAAAGGGCCTCCCTACATAAACAAGCATTCAAACTCCTATTGCCACCATGACCATAACATGAGATGCACAGCAAAGCAGTGCGCATGTAAAGGGAAGTAACTGTGTGCTGTATGGATCGCATTTTTTTAAGTATTAGGATTTTTTTGTATTTTTTGAAAATGGAAATGAAACGTGTGACAGACTTAATGATGATGCTGGCGGGGCTTTAGAACCAAGACTATAATTTCTTTAGCCTAAACGGCATTATTTTTTTGTTCATTGAATGGCAATGAACCAATAGTGGGGTACAAGCAGAGCTCCAGATCAGCTTTTGGTGTTGTGGGTATTTTACCCATGCATTTTAAAATCATTGGGTATCAGTAATTCTATCTGCGTATTCAAATTTCTGTTACCCACTAGTTTTTACACATGTGGGTATTTAAGTTAAATATTTAAAAACACTATTCATCTAGTCCCTGCAAACTGGTGTCGTGTGGGTTCGAGAGCTTTATAGAACTCAAAAATACCACGATACTTCCACAAGAAAGTGTGATGGCAAATGATCATGATCAGACTGTCATCGTGGAGTTTCGCAAGGTTGACGGAATGCCAACTTATAATTTCAAAATAAGTTGCTCATTTGCTAATCGAATACCCAGGGTTACTTCACAGTATTTTGATGATACGCACAAGTTTTATTTTTGTAGCGTATCTGTAATGTTCGTTGCGTATTTGATATGCTTGGATTATATTTTACTGTGTATTTCTGCATTTCTGATGCGTATTTCACGCAGATACGCAGCTTATCTGGAGCTCTGTATAAGTAGCCAATCTCCATTTCCGAATTGCACCAGACCGGGGACATGTCATCTCCAACAGAATGTTATGTTTTTGCTATCACAAGTTAAACTAATTAGTGTCAAGCGCTTCATACAACATGATACACAAGACATTTAAGATATGTTCTTGTATTTTAAAATACAAGCGAAATTAAGCAGTATTATGGCATGATTAGTGGAGTTTTGAGCTTTCACTCTCATGTGGTCTGACAGTGGAGAGTTACCTCCCTTGTCCCAGGTAAGGCTGCTGCAGGGCTACAGGCAAGCTGCTGGGATATTGATAGCTGAACGTTAAAATCACATTACCTTTCTTTGCATGGGTTTTATGTTTCAGCCCCTTTCAGCCCCAAAGTATTATAGTTCTGCTCATATGGTTTGGCTTAAAACCCGTTTTTTTGACAGGGGGCGTGTATGAAAAACATAGTTGTCTCCAGTGTAAATATGTCGTTTTATTTTAAAGTAGTATGATGATAACGATGTTTAAACTGAACTCGACAAGCCTCAAAAAGCTTTATAATCTCCTCACACACAACCAGCAAACATGAGAGATGTCGTGCGCCATGTGCAGTTACTCCTTTTGGGTTTGAGAAACAGGGTAGAGTTATCTGCCCTTGGTTAAAAATCCTGAAAATTTAAAAAAAGCCTGGGATTTGCATCAATTGGGGTTTTCCTCCCACATTAAGCTGACACGCCGTGATATAACTGGAATACTGTTCAGTGTGACGATAAACCCAACTCACTCACTTACTCACTCACTCACTCACTCACTCACTCACTCACTCACTCACTCACTCACTCACTCACTCACTCACTCACTCACTCACTCACTCAGCCTTTTTTAATTATTCTATTTTCAGAGCCACCATCATAACAGTTGGTCAACCTGCGACTGTGTCCGAGGCAGAGACTCTCCAGGTGGAAAATTATAAACAGGCCATATACAGGTACTACTTCCAGTAATGGGAGGCCAGATTATTGCACTTATATAGCAACATGCATGCACATGGGATTGGATTTATACATATTTTTGTGCAATAAATGCATCTGGGTTGGCAAAAAAGTCATCTGACTTATTTTAATAACGCTCCAGTACAAAGTAATAGAAGCCAAATTATATTTATCAAGTATTATTGATTTACGTTGGTTATATATATACATTAAAACCGAACAAACAGGAGTGGTCAACAGTTTGGTACAGTTGATGGAAAGATGTTCAATTACTAAGAAAAGCAAGCCTTTAACTATTTAATACCATGCACACACGTGTGTGTGTGTGTGTGGATGTGGGTGTGGGTGGTAGTCCGGAGTAATACTGCTTTAATTGTGCTAGCCCACTGAGATACCATGCCACAATTTCCAGAGCTACAGATAAGCAGTATATTTGCGTAAAATACCACCCCCACCCCCCACCCCACCCCCCACCCACCCCCACCCCAAATATATATATATTCAAAACCCAATTATATTCAATTAACTTGCGTACAGAAACGCATGCATTAAACGAAAAACTCAAATGTATAGAAGCAGCACGCGTAAATACCCAATGAAGCTTTTTCAGGATGCGTACAAAGGAACTAATTTCCAAAACACAATTACGAGCTAATTTACTTTCCGAGTCAAGCCTATATATTTAGAACAGTTATATACATATAAATCATTATTTCATATTTTTTTTAAGATCTTAAAATGTTCACTAATTTTGGGAAAAACCCAATAGAGTGATAAATAGATGAGTGAAAAAATATTGGTTACCCAATGAAAAAGGTAATAACCCAATTAAAATCGAACCCTAGAGTAAAAACTCAATTGTTCAAAAAGTTATCTGGAGCTCTGAGTTGTACCCATGTCGGGAATCGAACCCGGGTCTTCGGCGTGACAAGCGATCGCTTTAACCACCAGGCTACCTGACCGTTCTTGGATATTGCTGACAGCGGCACTAAGTTAACGGAATTCTGTATGTTTTTCAGACACCCATTGTTTCCGCTTATGGCGTTACTGTTTGAGAAATGTGAGCAAGCCTCCCACTCCCACGACTGCCCGACCTCGGAGAGCTTTGACGTGGACATCCAGGCCTTCGTCCAGCACCAGGAGAAGGAGCGCAAGGCCTTTTTCAGCGATGATAACGAACTTGATAATTTGGTAAGTAGCGTGAGACTCACACCGGCTTCCACTCACACAGTGAGTGAGTGAATATGGTTTTACGCCGCTTTTAGCAATATTCCAGCAATATCACGGCGGGGGACACCAGAAATGGGCTTCACACATTGTACCCATGTCGGGAATCGAACCCGGATCTTCGGCGTGACGAGCGAACGCTTTAACCACTAAGCTACCCGACCTCCCCCCCAACTCACACAGAGTCCTGTTGGTTCGATTACTTGGCTGACACCTGAAAAACCAACATCTACTAACTGAAATTAATTAAAATAAAACTACCTTATTCGATGTAATAAGGACCCACGTTGAGATTTGCTAATATATTGGCTAGTGAACAATCCCAATTAGCACCCCTTCCAACCCCTATTCGCGTATAATAAGCACCCATGTGTTATATGCACCCTTTATTATTGGCAATTAAATTCGGGAAAAATATATCTGTCGTACATAAACATTTCAGGCTGTCAGCATAAACCATGAAATTTATCTTTCAACTCTGTTTTTTTTCACCAAAATAATATTCTAATAAGACACCCCTATTTCTAATTTTGAGAGCGCCATGGGTTCTTATTACGTTGAAGACGGTAATTGAAATTAGATGAAAGGAAACTAATTAAAATTAACTGAAATGAAATTAATTGAACTGAATTAAAATTAACTGATGTTGACTGAAATTTACTGTTTAACTGAACTCTAATTCTCTTAGCTTGTTTGCAGGAAGAGTATTCACCTCAGAAAAACAAGCAGGGTTCAAAATTAACAAATTTACTGGTTCGGACAAGTAAAATTCAGAAAAGGCCAGAGACATTTCCTTGTGCATTATAACCCAGAAATAAAAACATTTTGCTTAATTCGACAAGTTTTGAGTCGGAGAATGATGCTATTAAGTAATCACATTTAAATAAATATTAAAAGTCATCATCCAAGTTTGTTGCTTACATACATTCCAGAGTAGTTCACTCTTCTTCTTTTTTTCTATTTTTTTTTATACATTTTGTTTTGTGCCCTGTTCAATTGGAAAGAAGTGATTAGACTTTATAGAAATACTGTTGTTAAAAAGGGTCTAGTTAGCAAGATTGTTGACCCAGGAAAAGCCCCACTGAGCTGATCACTGAGCTTGGGGGATTGTGACAGTGGGAGTCTTGACACTGATTGGTCCCTCGTCAAGTCAGGGCTATAAGCAATATAGCCTGGGCTGTAAGCAATATAGCCTATGTGTAGCCATACATATTCAGGGGCATGTATTTGTTGAAAGCTATGTCAGGTTGATTTTGCTATACCCAAACTGGACCAGTGCAGGTGAACTATACCTGGTGCAGGTAACGTTTATTGTCAAGTGACATTGCCACAACAAGTGCATGGCAGCCATTTTGGTTGTATAAGTTTACCGTAATTATTGTCTACTCCTATCGTGCGGGGCAGGTTAAAATCGGTTACTGGAAGTAAACAACGTAAATAGGTCTGTTCTCAAGCCCATAAATCAGTTACGAAGACCACGTGCTGTGTACACAATATTGTGACGTTTCATGGAACGTCAGACCCGTGAAGATTCCTGGGTAGAGTAGGTCTTCAGCAACCCATGCTTGCCATAAAAGGTGACTATGCTTGTTGTAAAAGGCGACTAACGGGATCGGGTGGTCAGGCTTGCTGACTTGGTTGATGCTTGTCATCGATCCCAATTGCGTGGATCGATGCTCATGACATTAATCACTGGATTGTCTGGTGCAGACTCGATTATTTACAGACCGCCGTCATATAGCTGGAATATTGCTGACTGCTGCGTTAAACAACAAACCAACAAACCAGACGTCAGATACGTCACTGGCTAATGTGTGGCTCATAATAGTGACAAGTTGAATTTGTCGACGGATTTGCTCACTGACCATATGGAAAAGAATTTGAACCTATGAACGTAAAATGTCAGTTTTGAAGCAACCATCTATCAGAGAGAGTGAGTGACGAGCGAACACTTTAACCCCTAGGCTACTCAACTGCCCCCTATCTATCAGAACATACTTCAAGACGTCCAGTAATGTGAGCAGCACTGGGGACAGTGAAGTTGGCCATGATTATACTTCTCATTCTGCTGTCAGTGACAGCGATAGGATTGTTAATAGCCCAGTCAGGGAAACTGCTAAGACAAACGTTTCTAAAGTTAACAATGTGTCCTGGTAGTATCTGTAATGATATCAAGAAGAAAGTAAAAACTGATTCTTTAGAAATAGCTGGGCAGACAGTAGTGATTGGCTTCAGTAAGAAGAAACAGAAAACATTATGTACTGTCATACAGTGGTGGGACAAAACACCGGTGGATCGCTTGGCATTAGCAATATAACCAATGTTTGTTGAAAGCTAAGTCAGGGGTATAAGCAATATAGCCCATGTTTGTTGAAAGCTAAGTCAGAGGTATAAGCAATATAACCCATGTTTGTTGAAAGCTAAGTCAGAGGTATAAGCAATATAACCCATGTTTGTTGAAAGCTAAGTCAGAGGGTATAAGCAATATATAGCCCATGTTTGTTGAAAGCTAAGTCAGAGGGTATAAGCAATATAGCCCATGTTTGTCCATAACCAACTCAGTTACATATGTGGCCCATGCTCTCAGCCAATCACTCCCTCATGTCTAAACTAATTGTGGACCGCCTCCGTGGTCTAGTGGAAGAGCGTCCTTCCGGAGAGCGGAAGGTCCGGGGTTCAATCCCCGACCGCATCATACCAAAAGACGTTAAAAGATGGTACTAATTGTTACCCTGTCTTGCGCTTGGCATTTAGGGGCGAAAACAAGGACTGGTCGGCTCTGAGTCAGTATACTGTGTCTTGAGTGTTAAACTGCGGCATGGTATCTCAGTGAGCTAGCACTATAAATAGGCATCAGTCTGGACTAGTACAAGCAGCCACACAAACACACAAACGTACATGCACGTCGCTATATAAGTGCAATAATCGTGGACGCAACGTTAAACCCCTTTTCACCTCACCTAAACTAATTGTGTGTTATATGTGGCTGTATTTGCCATGTTTGTGTCATGACTAAGCAGCAAATACTGTGTTTTCAGATGGTAAAAGCGATACAAGTGCTACGAATTCATCTCCTGGAGTTGGAGAAAGTGAACGAACTGTGTAAGGACTTCTGTACACGCTATATCGCGTGTTTGAAGGGCAAGCTGCAGAGCGAGAACCTGCTGCGTATAGACAACATATACGACGATTCATCACCGCCCTTGCCGGGAACACCCCAGCCTAGTCAACAAGCCAATCAGATGCAGGTTCAGCAACAGGTCATGACCCCTGGGGTCGTGACCTCTGTTAATGGCAACGTCGTGATACAGCAAGGGATAGCCCAGCCTACTGTTTCCATGGCAACTATAAACCAAGGACAAATCGTATCGGGGAATACAGTCTATCAGATGGTGCACACGCCTCAAGGAATAGTAGCACAACCCATTCAGGTAAGACTGCAACGCCAGACCATTGACCCGAGGTTTGCCTTATCGAGGTCCTGTTGCCATGGTTACCTTGTTTGTATCCACTGGTCAAGTTTGATGCTCAGAATATTGGCCACTGTTCGCTAGCTAATTTGTTTAATTTTGTTTTAACCATAGTAACTTTTAATGTTCATGTGATTTGTTATCTTTTCTCAGATTCAAAGTACGCCTTCAGTACAAGCCCCTATCATGACCCCAACAGCTACTGTGATACATGGCAGCACCCCTCTGTCTCAGATAGGCGTGGTCGGGGCACCTGTTGTGTCTCAAGTCAGTACATCTACTGGTGAGTGTAGTACACCTCTGTCTCAGATAGGCGTGGTCGGGGCACCGGTTGTGTCTCAAGTCAGTACATCTACCGGTGAGTGTAGTACACCTCTGTCTCAGATAGGCGTGGTCGGGGCACCTGTTGTGTCTCAAGTCAGTACATCTACCGGTGAGTGTAGTACACCTCTGTCTCAGATAGGCGTGGTCGGGGCACCGGTTGTGTCCCAAGTCAGTACATCTACCGGTGAGTGTAACACACCTCTGTCTCATATAGGCGTGGTCGGGGCACCTGTTGTGTCTCAAGTCAGTACATCTACCGGTGAGTTTAACACACCTCTGTCTCAGATAGGTGTGGTCGGGGCACCGGTTGTGTCTCAAGTCAGTACATCTACCGGTGAGTGAAGTACACCTCTGTCTCAGATAGGCGTGGTCGGGGCACCTGTTGTGTCCCAAGTCAGTTAACTACCGGTGAGTGTAACACACCTCTGTCTCATAGGCGTGGTCGGGGCACCTGTTGTGTCTCAAGTCAGTACATCTACTGGTGAGTGTAGTACACCTCTGTCTCAGATAGGCGTGGTCGGGGCACCTGTTGTGTCTCAAGTCAGTACATCTACCGGTGAGTGTAGTACACCTCTGTCTCAGATAGGCGTGGTCGGGGCACCTGTTGTGTCTCAAGTCAGTACATCTACCGGTGAGTGTAGTACACCTCTGTCTCAGATAGGCGTGGTCGGGGCACCTGTTGTGTCTCAAGTCAGTACATCTACTGTTGAGTGTAGTACACTTTGTCTCAGATAGGCGTGGTCGGGGCACCTGTTGTGTCTCAAGTCAGTACATCTACCGGTGAGTGCAGTACACCTCTGTCTCAGATAGGCGTGGTCGGGGCACCTGTTGTGTCTCAAGTCAGTACATCTACCGGTAAGTGTAGTACACCTCTGTCTCAGATAGGCGTGGTCGGGGCACCGGTTGTGTCTCAAGTCAGTACATCTACCGGTGAGTGTAGTACACCTCTGTCTCAGATAGGCGTGGTCGGGGCACCGGTTGTGTCCCAAGTCAGTACATCTACCGGTGAGTGTAACACACCTCTGTCTCATATAGGCGTGGTCGGGGCACCTGTTGTGTCTCAAGTCAGTACATCTACCGGTGAGTGTAACACACCTCTGTCTCAGATAGGCGTGGTCAGGGCACCGGTTGTGTCTCAAGTCAGTACATCTACCGGTGAGTGTAACACACCTCTGTCTCAGATAGGTGTGGTCGGGGCACCTGTTGTGTCTCAAGTCAGTACATCTACCGGTGAGTGAAGTACACCTCTGTCTCAGATAGGCGTGGTCGGGGCACCTGTTGTGTCCCAAGTCAGTTAACTACCGGTGAGTGTAACACACCTCTGTCTCATATAGGCGTGGTCGGGGCACCTGTTGTGTCTCAAGTCAGTACATCTACCGGTGAGTGTAGTACACCTCTGTCTCATATAGGCGTGGTCGGGGCACCTGTTGTGTCTCAAGTCAGTACATCTACCGGTGAGTGTAGTGCACCTCTGTCTCAGATAGGCGTGGTCGGGGCACCTGTTGTGTCTCAAGTCAGTACATCTACCGGTGAGTGTAGTACACCTTTGTCTCAGATAGGAGTGATCAAGACAGGAGTGGAATCTTCTGTGTTTGAAACAAAACTGAGTGATTCAGTGAAGAAAGTCTGACAAGGACAGTAGAATCAAAGGCAGCTACCTCACCGCAATGGAGTTGGTTTATTAATTCAGAGACCGCCTCCGTGGTCTAGTGGTTGAGCGTCCGCCCGGAGAGCGGAAGGTCCGGGGTTCGATCCCAAGCCGCGTCATAACAAAAGACGTTAAAAGATGGTACTTGTTCTTACCCTGTCTGTCGCTCTGCATTAAGGGGCTAAAACAAGGACTGGTCGGCTCGGAGTCAGTATACTGTGTTTGAATTGGGTATTCATGTTAAACTGCGGACTAGTACAAGTCCGGACTAGTACAAGCAGCCACACACACACATACACTTGTATGCATGTCGCTACATAAGTGCAATAATCTTGGACGCGAAGTTAAACCCCATTTCACACCACCTCATCCCACCTCATCCCACCTCACCTCAGAATAGAATATTTCTTCACCAAACTTGGTACATAGATAGTTCTAATGGCGAACTGGTCCCTTTTGATAGTTTGGCAACAACTTTGATTTCGGCTGAAAATGACAGAAATGTTCGTTTCCAGAGCAGATTTTGAAAACTGTACACTATGTCTTCACCAAACGTGGTATGTAGATAGGTCCAGTGGTGAACTGGTGCCTTTTGGTATTTGGGATTTTTAAAAAGAAATTTTACAAGTGTTTGGCTACTACTTTGACAAGGCTGAATATTGCGGTAATGTTTGTTTCCGGAGCAGATCTTGAAAACCACACGACTCTTCACCAGACTTGATTAATTAATAGGCCTAGTGGTGACCAGGGGACCCTTGAATTTGGGGGGGGAATTTTTTTAAATATATTTTTCAAGTTACCTTTGCAACAACATTGATGTAGGTTGGTAACGGTGGTAGTGCGTGTTTCTGGAGCAGATCTTGAAAACATCATTATTTCTTCACCAAACTTGGCACATAGATAGGCCTAATGGTGGACTGGTGCTATTAGATGGTTTGGAATTTTTTTAGATAAATATTTTTTGGTTCCATTGCAACAAGTTTCATATACTTTTCACTTACCGTATTCGACGTAATAAGTGCCCCGCTCTAATAAGCGCCCACGGCGACATTTGCTAAGATATTGGCTAGTGAACAATCCCAATTAGCACCCCTTCCGATTGATCAATGTACACAAGACTTATTTATTCGCGTATAATACGCACTCGTGTGTTATATGCACCCTTATTATGGGCATTTAATTCTGGAAAAATATATCTGTCGTACATAAACATTTCAGGCTGTCAGCATAAACCACGAAATTTATCTTTCAACTCTGTTTTTTCCACCAAAGTAATATTCTAATAAGAGCCCCCTATTTCTAATTTTGAGAGTGCCCTGGGCGCTTATTACGTCGAATACGGTATTTACTAAGTTTGTTCTATGAAAAAAAAGAATTGCTGTTATTCGTTTGAATGAATGCCACCGTTTGTCTATTTTCTAATCAACAAATATGGTAGTATATTTCAGAATTTAAACGATTTAGTTTGTCTGTGTTGTAGCCCCTGCCGCTCCCCAAGTCCCACCACAGATGTCGGCCGCCAACCTCAGTGCTTTGTTTGATGATGACGACTTCGGTAAAAAGAAGAGCAAGCGAGGAGTTCTGCCCAAACAGGCCACTCAGGTCATGAAGACATGGCTGTTTCAGCACATCGTGGTAGGTGCCGTTACTGACGATGGAGGGCGGTCGGGTAGCCTAGTGGTTAAAGCGTTCGCTCGTCTCGCTGAAGACCCGGGTTCGATTACCGACATGAGTACATTGTGTGAAGCCTATTTCTGGTGTCCCCCGCTGTGATATTGCTGGAATATTGCTAAAAGCGGTGTAAAACCATACTTACTCACTCACTCACTCACTGACGATGAAGCACTTTCACAGTCATCCAAATTTGGAAATAGAGAATCTCACCAGAGCATCTGTTGATATGAAATATTAAAGTCGATAAATGTTTAATTTTCGGAGGCTTGCCAAGACGTTTTCAACATTCATCATGAAGTGCTGTACTACACTTGAGTGAAATTCTATTGATCATTCAAAATCATTCTTTTCACTTAGCTAACAGTAATAACCAGTGTCTTTTGTGTAAAAAGTACAGTTAAAAAGCTTCAGTGGCAGAGAGGTTAGTGATGTCATTTGATTCTGATGTCATGGTTACCAATGACACCACAATGGTCTTCAATGATGCAATGTCATTGTAAGTGATATCTCCTGTAGAAGCTAGTTTTGTATGGGAGAGTCATCAAATGCAACTTACTGTCCCAGACTGGATATTATTAATGTACATAGAATGATATGTACCATAGAATCCAAGATTGCAGTAATGAATGCTATTGTTAAAACTGTGAACAAATATTATTAATAATATAGATTAATAGATTAACAATAGATCTTGTTGGACACTGGTTTGAATCCTAGGTTTCAGAAATTATGCATGATGTTTCAGCATCCGTACCCAACGGAGGATGAGAAGAGACAAATAGCCGGTCAGACGAACTTGACCCTGCTTCAAGTAAATAATTGGTGAGTAGCCAAGCGGGCACTGCACCCTCTCATCTGGGTTCAGTTCTCCACATGCATGGATACTTCTTTGCCCTGCCGACTGCCTCTGTGGTCTATTGGTAGAGCGTCCACCCGGAGAAAGGAAGGTCCGGGGTTCGATCCCTGACCGCGTCATACCAAAAGACGTTAAAAGACCGTACTTGTTGTTACCCTGTCTGGCGCTCGGCATTAAGGGGCTAAAACAAGTACTGGTCGGCTCGGAGTCAGTATACTGTGTCTGAGTGGGGTATTCATATTAAACTGCGGCTTCGTATCTCAGTGAGTTAGCACTAGAAATCGGCATCAGTCCGGACTAGTACAAGCAGCCACACACACATACACACTCACACACATGCATGCACGTCACTATATAAGTGCAATAATCTTGGACGCGACGTTAAACCCCATTTCACCTCACCTCACCTCACCTCACCTCACCTCACCTCACCTCACCTCACCTCACCTCACCTCACCTCTTTGCCCTGCTTATGTATCTTGGTTTGTGCTCGTGGATTGCAACAAAGGAATAAATGACCTCCACCACATCAGGCTTTCCTCCCACATCGAGCTGGTTCAGCTGAATACGAGCAGTGTTAAACCTGATTCGCTCACCCACTCTGGGGATTCTGGGTTGGAAATTGGTCACCTCTGAATTGGTAACTGTTGTATGTCATGGAGTCTGAGGACATCCCATTACGGGGCATGTCAGAACGACCTTTCATCCGACCAATCAAAGCGTTGCTTACCAGATCATGAAAGTGACATTCAGAATGTGTTTTCTAATCTAGCAACCTCAAAAACGTTAACACGGGGTATTCCAAATGACAGTTACGACTAATTCCGTCCAATTTATCGTCTATCTCTCGCTTCCGTGGCATAAAAATTTGAACAGGCTGTCATTGCACAGTACTTGGGAAGCACTGCCATACAATCTCAACCATATGTTTGACATTCCGAAATGTTCTTTTGTTCAGTTTTCAAATGTTTAATCGAGAACTGTGTCAATATATTTTTCAAGTGTAGTCTGAAATGGATGTCGCGAGGTTGAAACGAGTGCCATAAAGCTTGAGAAAGCTGCTTTCTAATCGACTTCTTGTTACCGGTAGTCATTTCAGTGGTTGGTCAAAGTTCGCGAAAGTTCATTCTAACATGTCTCGTAATGGGATGTCGGCAGCGAGAACTTAGATCTGATTTTAATGAGATTAGGTGTTGGGACCAGAAATATGCATCCAGTACGAAAGAATTTAGATGGGAATGAAACAAAACAGTTGGAGTCAGTATACTGTGCCTGAGTTGGGTAACCATGGTAATGGTATATTATTGGGACAGTACCCTTTTTGACAGTAGTTAAGCCAAATTTTGAGGACAAAAAAAAAGAAGCTTCTGTTGAAAGGGGTTGGCCTATGTAAAGGTTACACTTTCATCAAACTATTCTTCTGTTGGAAAAAGAACTACTTGTAGTGCTTCAGATGAATGAACAGATATACAATGAACACTTATTATGGCCAGATAGGGTAACGACAGGATTAATTTGCGTAATTCAATGGGGATAGTTGATGTCCTATTTCCAACGAGACGAGAAGTAGTTTAAGGTTGGTGGTCTGGCTTATGTACTTCACATAACATTTTTATACAGATTTCAAGGATGAAGTTAATACCCTGGCTTAACTATGAGATCGGCCTACCTACGGTCATATACAATACTATAATACCGGCATTTTTCCAGACCAGAATAAGCAGACACAATTACATAAATACATAAACACATACACACGCACGTACGTACGTCGCTAAAATAGTGCAATAATCTTGAATATGACGTTAACCCGATTTCACCTTCCCCAAACTTTTATAACAATTATATTTGCTACAGGTTCATCAACGCCCGACGTCGGATATTGCAGCCCATGTTAGACGCCAGTAACCCGGAAACCACAAAGACGAAAAAGAGCAAGCCCCAGACCCGCCCCCAACAGAGGTTCTGGCCGGACAGTATAGCCAATATCACACCCCAATTGCCGGCGCCGGACGGACAAGGGGACGACCCGATGGACAAGCTGTGTGACGACCAGCAACAGCATCATGTCATTGTGTCACAGGGACAACAGCTTGTGCTGCCTGGTATGAATGCTTTGGCCAGACTCATTTTTAGAATTGGTCCACGACAACCTTTGCTTGTGGGAGGCGACTTGAGTCTGATTTGTTTCATTACGTGTCATCATATCCCAACTCTGTGGATTGTTGCTCATAATATTAACCATTGGATTGTCTGACCCAGACTCAATTATTTACAGACCAGCCAGAACATTACTGAGTGGGTGTTTGACAGCAATTTAATCCAACAAATCACATCAAAGAACATTATGATTATTATTATTGTTGTTATTGTTATTATTGTTATTGTCATTTGACAAGAAAATCCAAATATCCTTTATACACGTGACGGCAGTTAGAGCAACCCATGCATGCGACTATGCTTGTCGTAAGAGGCGACTAACGGGATCGGGTGGTCAGGCTCGCTGACTTAGTTCATGCATGTCATCGTATCCCAGTTGCGTGGATCGATGTTCATGTTGTCAATCACTGGATTGTCTGGTCCAGACTCAATTATTTACAGACCGCCGTCATATGGCTGGAACATTCCTGAGTGTGGCGTTTACCAACAACAAACAAACAAACAAACAAACAAACCTCAGATGGAGGGATGTCTACAAGGGAGATAACTCTTGTTTCAGTGAGGAAAGGAAGTGAGACTTGATCCAGTTTGAATTGAGACAGTTAAAATGATTGTTTCATAAATTATACATAAACCTCAGTTGTAGGGTTGTTTACAAGGGAGATAACTCTCGTTCAGTTGAAGTATACCAATTGAGACCAAATTAAAAATAGTATTTGCATGTATGTCAGGTGTATGTTTACAAGGGAGATAACTCTGTTTCAGTGATGACATCAGAAGGGCAGATAATCACGTCACTTCCACATATTCACCAGGCTTCCAGCTCCCCTCACGACGACGATGGAATCAAGATGGAGACCGAGCTCGTGGGAGATGATTCTGACTCCAGTAAAGATGACAGTTAGATGTGTTTTCCTGTTACCATGGTTACAATTGCTCACTAAGTGAGCATGTCATTGTTCATTCTCATCATGTTAGCTTCCTATGATATGCCAAGTCCCATAATGCAATATTCAATAATAATGAACGGCTTTGTTTTCCTCCTTCCGTGGGTGTTTGCATGGCGAATCTTTACCTTCCGAGTGTTTGTAAATAATCTGTGTATGTGGCATGGCTACAAAGAATTCTTGTTTCCGGCTATAACCAACATGGACCCCTTCAGCAAGTGATGACTGTAGTACTACTACATGGCTGAGTGGGATTTTTCCAGTGCAAACAAGTCCTACAAAAGATATGCATATATACATGCATATGTTTCACATGAGGTATCCTAAGCAGATAACAGTCTGTGGATCGTAATAATAATCTCTTATTTTTCAATGAAATATGGTAAGTTTCCTTGACGACTTGTTACCATGGTTACAGATACCACAATATATACATGCATATGTTTCACATGAGGTTTCCTAAGCAGATATCAGTCTGTTGATCGTAATAATAATCTTTTGAAAAATCCCAATTTTGGGCAGCGGCAGTTAGTTTAGACTTCTGGAATGGTCCCTAAAAAAACTTGGCATTTGCATAACCTACTGGTTAAAGCGTTCCCTTATCCCGCCGAGGGCCCCGGTTCCATTCCCCACAGGGGTAGATGTGTGAAGCCCATTTCTGGAGTTGGACGTCGTGACATTGCTGACATATTGCTAAAAGCTTTATCAAATCATGCTCACTCAATCCATCAAAAGTATCAGGTCACATCTTTTAAGATTAATCTTCTCTGACGGTTGTTTTTTGTATGCCTTCCCATTAGTCCTTACACTGGCTTTAAATGTTCAAGTTTGTTGTTCACAGTTGAGTGTGAGGACATTACGAGGTCTCGGACAGGTCTGCGAGTTTGAAAGTTAGAGGTTTTTGTAATTGACCAAGTAATGATTCATTGATAGAGAAACAGTTATCCTTTTCATACTTACACTATCTGCCATTTTGGATCATGATCTGTTTTTCCTTGTTGTCCAGTTTTTGTGTTATTTCCGATTTATACAGGGTCCATTCGGAACGGGAATTAGTCAGTTGTGCACATACAATTGTCACTGTAGAGTACGTGACGAGACCAGGGGTGGTCGGTAGCCTAGTGTTGAAAGCATTTGCTTGTCACACCAAAAACATGTTTTCTGTTTCTACATGGGAAAAGTATGTAAAGCCCATTTCTGGTGTGGTGCCATGATATTGCTCACGTATTGCTAAAAACAACGTAGAACCCTTCTCACTGACCCGCCATGATATTGCTGGCATATTGCTGACGTATATATAACAGTCCCCTAGTTTCAACACACTAGGTTTATCTCCTAATTATGTACTGGTATTCACTCCCGCTGTTGGTAAGTCTGTCTTTACAATTACAACTAAACAGAAGAAACCATGGCAACAAACGTCTTGGTAATACTGTTGTAGAGTTTATTAGTTTTGACCTAGCCTATGGATATGACTACTCGTGGATCTAAGTAGTGATATGCTTTAGATCCAAATGAAAATACAATCTGTTGACTATACAGGATAAGGGCCATGAAGTCTTTGTGCTCAGCCCTGATTGAGATCTCAGAAATGGTGCCAGGAGTAAATTGGTGTTGCTCAGGCTTTTGAGTTTACAGAGTAAGGGCTGGCTGAGATCTCAGTAATGGTGCCTGTAACGCGTGGGTATTGCTCAACGTATTTAAGATTTCCTTGTTAAATCCGTAGTTTTGAAAAATAAAAGTCTGAAAATAGTATTAACTATCACGACAATGACGCGGGTTCGATTCACCACATGGGTAAATGTGTCGAGCCAGATGCGATATTGCTGGAAAATTGGTAAAAGAGGCGTTAAACCAGACTCACTCACTCACTCACTCCTCCAGCCTGTATCGTTGCTATTTCTTGCCCGGTTTAGCTTTAAAAAAGGTAGTCATCAAGCACCCATTCTAGGTCTGCTTATGTCCAAACGAGGCTTACATTATTGTACTATTTTATAGCATCACATGAGCTTTCTGCGCATGTGCATTTGTAATTATAATAGAGGGGCGGTAAAGTAGCCAGGTGATAAAACATTCGCTTGTCACGCCGATGGCTTGTGATATAAGCGGAAAATTGCAAAAAGCAGCATAAAACCATACTCACTCACTCACTCACTCACTCACTTATACTGTTGTGTATAGAAGAATTCCTTTGTGGCATAGTTAGGTCACATGTTACTTGAGGTCTTCCAGCCTTTGAGTGCTGCTTGATGGCTTCCTTACTTGTCAGCATAATGCCAGGGCCAACTGATGGTGCTATTTGACTCTAGATCTGATGTACGAGGACTGGCTTTAGTAGTTTTCAACCTTCACGTAACAGGTCTTGTTTGGTAGAGTCAAAACAGAGTTCTTGTATTCCAGGTATAACCACTTGGGTATTAATGCCATACTGTTGTACAAGTCCAGTCTGGTTTGTGGAACGCCAGAAACCTATGATTGTGGGTTCGAATCCCGGTTCGCCCAATTATGTTTCTAGGTTTGTCAGCACCATACCCGTGCTCATGGGTTTCACCGAAGTGGTAAATGTCTGAGACCTGCATCACTTCGGGCTTTCCTCCCACATTAAGCTGACATGCCGTGATATAACTGGAATACTGTTAAAAGCGGCGTTAAACCCAACTCACTCACTCACTCACTGGTTTGTGTAACAACACTAGTCTGCAAATGTGAAAAGAAGAAATTGTTTTCAGTGGACTTTGATATTTTCTTCTAGATCAGCTGGGAACAATATTGCAACTTTCTTTCTTTCAAAACAACCTTGATTTTCGGGAAAGAGGAAATAATTTAAGACAAATTTGCCTGTTCTAGGGCTTGAGTATTTACCAGGTTTAAAATAGAAAGCTTTTGAATAACTTGATCGTAATTACATGATCGTAATCCTACGACTTTTGTAACTCCTATACTTAAGCATACTACAGGGCCCCATTGAAAATACAATCTGTTGACTATACAGGATAAGGGCCATGAAGTCTTTGTGCTCAGCCCTGATTGAGATCTCAGAAATGGTGCCAGGAGTACATTGGTGTTGCTCAGGCTTTTGAGTATACAGAGTAAGGGCTGTGCAGTCTTTAGCTTTAGCCCTGATTGAAATCTCAGTTATGGTGCCAGGAGTACATTGGTGTTGCTCATGCTTTTAAGTATACAGAGTAAGGGCTGTGCAGTCTTTAGCTTTAGCCCTGATTGAGATCTCAGTAAGCAGCGATAAGCACAGACTTACAATATTCTTTAACTGCTATATATAAAAAGAGTTGCCAAAGTTTTGAAACAGTTATTGTTACCTACAATAGTCAGCTTTGTTTTGTTCTACTTCGGTCAATCTGATTGGTCAGTATGAGTATCAAACATGTTGACGTATCTCGAATGGAAGGATTTGCATCACTAATTAGGGAAGTATGTTACTGTATCTTATGATTATTTATTTCAATTTATGATGAAGGATTGTCATCTTTTTCCTTACGAGTCTATCTGAAAGTCAATAACATAATGAAACCAAATGTGAAATAGGTTTGGTTTTTTTAAACTTATGAAAATCCAAAGCACAACCTGTGCTGGTTGCAAGAGGTGACTAGACAGATTGCTCATAATATCAGTCACTAGTCGATGCTCATACTATCAGTCACTAGTTTGCTGAGTGCGGCGTTGAACAAGAACAAAACACAGACACAATCAGACTGTCAATGTACATCGATATTTGATACCAGATAAAGAAAAAAGGCACAATTGAGTATTTAACTTGAAAGAGTTGCGTCCCTTGGTTGTGTCAGAATCTGATGATTGTAGGCTCAAATCCCAGATTCCTACTGGCCAAAGTGGTAAACGTCTGAGGCCTGTATAATGTTAGGCTTACCTCCCACATGACAAGCAGTGGACAAAACTCTCATCCTGTTCGCTGACTCACCAACAAGGTTTTTTATCCCGGACTTAAGAAAACAAAGGAATTTTGTGGTGCAATCTCCTGTACAAGTATTGACTTAAGTAAAACTGGTTGTTGATCAGACCAGGGTCCACTTGCTCAAAGCGATCTTAGCGCTAAGATGATCGTAACTCCCATACTTCAGCATAGGCTTACAACAGTCTTAGCGCTAAGATGATCGTAACTCCCATACTTCAGCATCGGCTTACAACAGTCTTAGCGCTAAGATGATCGTAACTCCCATACTTCAGCATAGGCTTACAACAGTCTTAGCGCTAAGATGATCATAACTCCCATACTTCAGCATACGCTTAAAACAGTCTTAGCGCTAAGATTGCTTTGTGCAAGTGGGCCCAGGTTGTTTATGGTGTACTTAATTCTGTGGACTGTATTACGATGCTTTACGAGGGCATGCAATGTCTTCCATTGGTTTGTTATTACTATGCAATCGGCTTGTTAGATTCATTCACAATTACTGTTGTATATTATTGTATATTGAAAAAATACACTGCAATTTTTTTAAAAGAATAAAAACTAAATATATAACCATTTGTTTGTTGTTTTCCTTGTCTCCTGAAACCAATATCTCACGTTCCCTTTAGGTCAACCAAGAGTGAGTGAGTGAGTTTGGTTTAAGGCCGCTTTTAACATTATTCCAGTTATATCACGGCGTGTCAGCTTAATGTGGGAGGAAAGCCCGAAGTGATGCAGGTCTCAGACGTTTACCACTTCGGTGAAACCCACAAGCACGGGTATGGTGCTGACAAACCTAGAAACATAATCGGGGCGAACCGGGATTCGAACCCACTATCAAAGGTTTCTGGCTCGCCAAAGGGACGCAACTCTGCACAGCGAATCGCAGCGCCTTAGACGACTGGGCCACCCGTGCCCCCAGGTCAACCAAGAAGTTTTACTAGTAACTGCCTTCTTCCCCAGACATTGCAGTCACAGAATGCAGTATCCCTATGGATTCAACAAAGAGGGATTCCGGATAAGCAAGATAAAAAAAGGTGTCTGAACTGAGACCATATTAATAGATCTATTTTATGGTCTCTGGTCTCAAGAGGGGGCATGGGTGGCCCAGTCGTCTAAGGCGCCGCGATTCGCTGTGCAGAGTTGCGTCCCTTGGGCACGCCAGAAACCTATGATTGTTGGTTCGAATCCCGGTTTGCCCCGATTATGTTTCTAGGTTTGTCAGCACCATACCCTGCTCGTGGGTTTCACTGAAGTGGTAAACGTCTGAGACCTGCATCACTTAGGGCTTTCCTCCCACATTAAGCTGACACGCTGTGATATAACTGGAATAATGTTAAAAGCTGCGTTAAACCCAACTCATTCATTCATGCTCACTGGTCTCAAGCAACCTACGCTTGTCGTGAGGCGACTAGAGGAATTAAGTGGGCAGACCAGCTGACTTGGTTGATGCATGTCATCCCAACTGCGTGGATTGATGTTCATGTTGTCAATGCCTGAATTGTATGGTCCAGATTTTATTGTTTACAGACCGCTGTCATATTGATGGAATACTGTTGAGTGCGGTGTTAAACAACAACAAACACATTGCAAGGATCAAACTAAACTTTAGGTGAGGTGAGGTGAAATTGGGTTTAACGTCTCGTCCAAGATTATTGCACGTACATAGCAACGTGTATGCACGTTTGTGTGTGTGTGTGTGTGGGGGGGGGGGGGGTTGGCGGGGGGGGGGGGGGGGGGGTGGCTGCTTGTACTAGTCCGGACTGATGCCGATTTGAAGTGCTAGCCCACTGAGATACCATGCCGCAGTTTAACATGAATACCCCACTCAGACACAGTATACTGATACCGAGCCGACCAGTCCTTGTTTTAGCCCCTGAATGCCGAGCGCCAGACAGGGTAACAACAAGTACCATTTTTTAACGTCGTTTGGTATGACGCTCTACCTCTAGACCACGGAGGCGGTTAACTAAACTTGAACCACCAGACCGCGGGCAAGGGTCACAGTCCAAGTGTGCTTTCCAAAGTTACTTTATTTCATTTGGGGGTGATGGCGTAGGCTGAAGTACTGTCGGAAATGGTAGAAAACTGCTTTTTGCCTGTTAAAAAAGGATATAATTTTTCACAGACTGTTGTTATTGAAATATCGATCTACCTGTGGTTTGAAGTGTTTCAGTCACAAGGAATCCTATCGACAAGTTTACAGAAGACAAATTCATTCGGACTATAGAAATATGCGCACGTGACTCCGTTATAATGATAATAATCTAGTCTTCATAAAACATCTAATCCACACACAAAAATCATTTTGAGAAAATTGTAGATGTGCATCTTCTAAAAGGACAAAATGGTGCAGCGTTGTTTTTTTGTTAACATTGCTCCCATGATGCATGTTACATTACATTGCACAGCCATAACCATGGTACACGATATGGAGTCTGTGCTGCTTGTAATGTTTACAAGTTCTTTACACTTTAGAGAGATAGGGGGAAACCATTTATTAATTGAGATAGGGTGAATTACCGAACTGCCCTAGCTATTGGGTTTTCAATTCATACCATCAAGTCTACGGTATGATAATAACACAAAACAGGTATAGGGGTGGTCTCAAAAACAAAACTGGGAAGTAAAAGGATTTTAGACAGCTTTCATACAGGGTGATTAGGCGTATAGTGGTTGGAACTTCAGCTATTGCCCATTTTAAACAACGCCAGTGTGATTGTCATGAATAACGCCAGTTAATATAACGTCCGGGAATCAGATACTGTCGCCCAAACCATGATTAGTCTGAAGGCGACTATACAGGAATATGACATTGTCGACTTCAGGCCATCTGAAACGAAAGTTTCGGCTGAATAAGAACCCTGTAAAGTACAAGACATATGTGCTGGCGGCACAACACGGTCACGTTGTCTTACGTACGCCAGTCAGACATTGCGAGCTCAACCCTGTTGTGTCCATCTTGGCTAAGTGTAATGAGGTCTAGGCAAGACATAACACAACATTCAAAAGTACAGATTCATACACGTCATCAGCGGAGATAAATGCTACCTCAAGAAACCATCTGTAGAACATCAAATACTTCTGGATTCCAAAACCGCAACCTTCCAATACTCATCCCGTTTCATAGCTCTTAACTATTCCATCATGTTTCCAAGCAATATAATGCAGTACATATCCTAAATTGCTACCCCATCAACGCACATGTCAATAAAGTACAATAACAGCAATATTTGAGACCACCCCAACTCGATGACATTTACACCTTGGAGAATGCACGGGACGGTGTGAGGTCATCACCTCGGGACAGGTGTTAGGTAATTACCTCAGGTTATAGGCCATTTCATACATGCATGACAACACACGAATATTTACTAAGTTTATCATCATTTTACCTGTAAATTTTAAGGGTAACCACAACATCAGTTAGGACAGGCTAGATTAGGTCAATTCGCATTATTTTGATATATGTTCTTTTTATAGTCCTATGACTCATATTTCTTACATGAAGACAGAAAAGCAGTTTTCTAGCATTTCCGACAGTACTTTAGTGGTTAAAGCTTTCGCTCGTCACGCTGAAGACCCGGGTTTGATTCCCAACATGGCTACAATGTGTGAAGCCCATATCTGGTGTCCCCATCTGTGATATTGCAGGAACATTTCTAAAAGGGCGTAAAACCATGCTCACTTTTTTCATGGGCAGAAGGCTTCTCCATTGAACTTCAAATTCACATACAAGTGTTTCATTATCATTTATCAGTATATTTACTGGCTAATCTTTTGCTACACGTCATGAGGCATTAACAAAATTGAAATGTATGTGCCAGCTATGTTGTTCTTTTCAAAGCCTTATCAAGCCCAGTGGACCTTGTATTATAAAGTATAAGA